TACAAATGATTATAACAGCAACATTATGTTAAAAAAAAAAATCTTATATAAAACTAGTCGCCAATAAGACGATTAATAATTCGTAAAGCGTCTAGATTTTTAACAAAATTCACAAAAACAGTTCGTCTAGTAATCGATTGCCTTTAAATTCTTTTATAGTATATCGCGAAAGATTGTATTGTACTTTATTAGTATATAATCACGCTATTGCTCCGTCAATTATATCTTTCCACGTACGGACTAATGGAGAGAAACAAATATTCATGAGGCATACATTAATTTAGTTTTTACGATCATTTGTTTGCAACAACTAGTGAGATCACACGTGATAAAGGAGTGTATAAGTCTGTTAGGTGTGTCCTTGTCACCTGTTTGACTGGTATTAAACAACAAAAATCGGTTATAGATTACTATACGAAAAATTCTAGATTTTTCAGTAATTTTGTGCCGGAAACTGCGACAATCTAAAATGCGCGGTTCACACTTGGCCATTAGCGTAATCTGTAGCGCTCAATAACTGGACTGGAAATCAACTGGCATAGTGTGAACACAAACTGGAGCCTGTGAGTTCATACAAATTTATGCCTTGCAACTGTATTGGCCAAATGTAAACCAGGCATTAGTCTTGTGTCGAAATAAAAATTGCGTCTGCGTCAAACTAAAAGACGGTAAGGATATCGTTAGTGATAGGGTATAGTGAAAAGTTGGCAATAATCGCGGGAAAATTTACTACCAGAAGGCACTATGCTGTTTTAACTATTTTAAATGCATTGTTAACATAAAAACAGTCCATAACAGGTAATAATCATAAAAAATAAAAGACCTATTTAATTATCACAAACAGTCAAAGAAATTATTGTTTATTTTTATTTGTGAAACTGTTATTTGTAACTTCAGTTAAGTGCCCAGTTATCTTTATCAATGCTGTTGTTACTTTTTATCTCTTCATGCTCTATTTATCTAATAAATTGAAGTTTTCATAATCAAACCACACCTGTTACTTTATGTACCTTTTGTAGAATTTTTACATGTTTCTATTCTACTTGATTCCTCATTAATTGTAACTATTTTGAATTTGATATTAAGTGGTTAATGCATAACTATTTACAAAAAAAATAATTTTTACTTAAGATATATTAATTTAAATTATAGCTTGTTATTTAAAAACAAAACATCTTTAAAAAATCAAGCGACAAACATAAGTAAACATTTAATTGTGGTATATTATTACATGTAGAAAGATATTAGTTTCATAAATACTTTATATCCGAGAGCTTGAAGTTTTAATAAAAATAATTAATGTTGCAGATTTTAAAGCCATTTTACATTAAACATGTACAGGGTAAATTGTCATAGGTTAAATAACAAGGAAGTGTGAACCACAAATACTAAGCTATCTCTTTATGTGGTATCCATTATTTCCTTTATATTAAATTCCTTATACAGTATCCCATAGTTTACTGTATGTTAGAAAGAGATAAATATAATAAATTTATAGAAAAGAGCAAGACATAAATACTCGGACAACCCCTCTTAATGCTTACTCTAAATCTGTATACAAAATATTAACACATACAAGAGGCTAGTTATTGAAACAACAAAACACATGTCTCTATTGAAAAGACAAACAAAGATTGTTGAATGGGTGTTACTATTTATAAACTTTTTAAATATTTTCAGTCCTTTGAACAATTTAAGTGACTAAAAATCTAGAAAAAAAATAGTAAACAAGTAAGTATGCTGTCTTGCTTCTTTTTCACTTAAATGCATGTATTATAAGGATGTAAGGTCAATAAGTGATTTTTTTTTAATTAGTCAAGGTTGGTTGGTTGATAATTTTATGTACCATACATTCAAAATTGTTAAATCTATGACAATAAAGATTATAAATGCTATATGCTATGTAGGCAACATTCTAAATAATTTTTATTTAACAAAATTGCAATACTAAAAATCAATAACAAATGACAGTCTTCATTAGTACAGAAATACAACTATTCTTACTGAATTTGATGGTATCCATTTCATGTTTGAATCTTTTCTTTAAAAAAAATGATAAAACCTTCAGTAAAGAACAAATAATATGCTAAAATTCTCACAAAGTAAGAATCCTTGCATATTTTTAAACGTAATTTTAAAAGAAATTAACCCAATAGGAATTTTAAAACTTTATAACGGTCAATATGGCGTTAAGTCTTACCAAAATTATGGGAATCAAATCAGTTGTTTATTTTTATTTTTTTAATTTTACACCTCCTAGCTTATCACAGCTACAACAAAGAGAAATCTAAATAAATTTTCAGAACTTTAAAAACATTAGTGGTTACTCAGTTTTCATGTATAAAATGTTTGATTAGGTTTGAGTCACTAAAACTCGGAACTGTTACAACTTACAAAGCCACAAATTCACGGTCAAGTGTAAAACATTTTTTATCAAACAGTAAGTACTTTATTCGTCAAATAGATTATAATTCAAACTAGTGTGATAATAAAAAGTGTCACAATCTAATATAAAAAGGGGATAAATATCGATCACACACTCACCACAACAAGACAGCCGGCGAACTTGAAATAACCGCACCGATTCCCGATTTTTGACCACGTTTCCCACAATGTTGTTCACTTTAATACACCAAAAAGCACTACACTGAGGTAAAGCTGAAATAACCATAGAAATAATCAATTTTTTAAGTCACAAAACGAACGAAATACACAATGTTTTCACGAAGACCGAACGGTCGCAATTTACACAAACATCCACTTTCGGTGGCAAAAATTTACTGTCAGACCGATTCAACCAACGAGCTTTGCCTGTATTGACTTCGACGATTCGAGTTTACATTCGTTATAATCCTACTAAATTGTATATTCTTACTACAACTTCGCTGGCTTCATTTAGTCATTACATTTTATTTTAGTAGGGTTATGTTCAGTTTGCATTACGCCATCTATTGATAGGAATTAAAAATTTTTGTAAAATGTTTCTTCATGAAGAGCGACATCTGCATTGATTCTATAAAACTATTTGTGAAACAGCGCCATTACTTATTTCTATTAGTTTTAACCGACTACTTTGAGATTATGTCTCAAAACACGGTGAATAGATGTCGCGTTACTCAAAAGTACTTTTTGGAAACAATAATTTATCATGAATTAAGTAAACAAATACGTGTATCGCAACGTGTAACCTGGATGGAAATGTTTTTACTTTTATCTTTTTAGATAGACTAGGTCGGCGTTTATGTCTCCTGTGTTGTCAGTATTGCGCAAGGCGGCAGATCATGGATAACTCCAGCCAACCCAGCTCGTCGAAGAATCTCAGCAACCCCTTAATGTTACTGGTGATTTTCGTGAACAATCTCGGCAAACCTGACCCTTCCTTAGATGAGTGGCCTCAAACTACGAAGCATTTTGTAAAAAAGGTTTGAGAAATAAATGAACCACTATCCTATTTACGATATCAGAAGATACGGTGCTAATAGATCTTAAAACAAAGTCCTCCCATAGACAAAGTTCCCATACATTGAGAACAAGGGATTTGTTTTATTTTCTCTTTGTGGTCGTAAACTTTCCAAGAAGAAATGAATGAAAAAAGGCGTCTCTAAAACTCCAAATGAACGGTTTCGGTAACTTCCGCCCGAGGTGACCGCTGGCGACGAGGGTATTAGGGTGCAAAGATACGAACAGAGAAATACATCGAGAGGTTCATTTAAAAAAATAAATTGTTACATCCAAAATTGCATTTCGTTTTATTTAATTAATTCCCGATCTAACATATAATAAACAATGAATTACACTAACTTAATAATTTTCTCATCTAGTATGACACTGGTTTAATCTTACTCTTACTAATATTATAAATGCGAAAATTAAGATGGATTTCCATCCATCTTAATTAGTATATATAGTTTGTTAGAATTTGTAGCCTAAACGGCTGAACAGATCTAGATGAAATTTGGCATTGATGTGAAGGATAGTTTGGAAGAACACAAAGGCTACTTACTTGTTTTTTTTTGATCCCACGCGGACGGGGTCGTGGGCGAAAGCTAGTGTCCTATAATTTTTCCTCTCCTACATACAGCGATTGATTTTAGTGTATGCCCAAGCTAAATAAAGAAAAAGCCGAGGACATCATCCACTAAGCTATAGGGTTATATGTGCCTCCGTGGCGCAATTGGCTAGCGCGTTCGGCTGTTAACCGAAAGGTTGGTGGTTCGAGCCCACCCGGGGGCGACACTTTTTGCTAATTTGTCATTTACTACTAATTATTAATGTTATAATAATAAATATAAAATTACAGAGCCTTGTACTTGAAAATATATACAATCCTGTTTCTCAATAGCCAGTGTCATAATTAAAAATAAAATAGTTGTAATATAGAACTTCGACTCCACGCCATTCTATAAAGGCGGCGTGAAGAATGTTATTAAGTGGGTGAGCTGAAAAAACAAAAATATCTCTATCTATCCACCTCGGACGTGATAATTAGAGATATTGGACCGTCCCGAGACAGCGTCACGGACAGACCGGCTAATATTTATATCTTAAGATCGTCCGTTTTAGTGGAGTAATTTAGTAGTCCGAGACCTTTATTGTCCTGATGTTTGTGTTAAGAACGAATTTCTTAATTTTACGAGTCTAGTCTGCTCCGTGGCTGTTTAAAAGAACTTTACTGTTACTATATCTGTTTTTTAAAATACATTTCCCTAAAAATGGGAGATAGTCTACTTGTATGTTGGAAAGTAAAATAAGCGTTGAGAATCTTTTTAATTCACCGCTATTTATTCGAATCAAACAATCAATTTTTTCTCTTTTAAAAATACAACTTAAAATAATAAAACAGGCTTCTAATTATTTACTACATTTTTTCTATTATTCGCTAAAAAAAGGTTGCAAACATGTTATAACGTGAAACACCAAACTGTGCTAATGACGTCACCGACGCCGCCATTACAGAAAGTAATTTTCTAGACTAACTTCTCTCATTTTTTTTCAGTTAAAATCTTAATAAAAGATTCTCAAGTGTATACATATTTCGGGTGAGAATAACTTGGATATAAAAGTAAATAATGGGCAGTCCAAATGTAAGTATAAAGCTTTAAGTAACATTTTAAAGTAGAATTAGTTTGTACAAAACTTTGGTCGTTTCTTGGTTTAGTTTAATGTTGTTTTCGTGTAAATAAAAAGCGCAACATGTTATTATATTATATAGAATCACATTATTATTAAAATAAATTTCATAGAACATATGTTGGATAAAATTTCTTAAAGTAATACGCAGTCTATCAAGTAATCTCGGGACTATTACGATAATGTTAACATAAATTAGTAAAGACGACATATTTGAAAATAGACTTTTATAAACCACGGGCTAAAATCCATAAATATTTAAATTTATGTGCATTTAAAGTGTACAACCTGACAATTCTTACGGTGATTTCAGAAGCTGAGGAATATTTTTCATAACAAAATTACTTTGTTCAATACATCGTTAAACTATGGATTGGACCTATGAGCGTCGCTAGAAGTAAATCTGCAATGGAGAGTCGAAAATTGTAAGTTAAATTTATAAATTTATTCGAAATACTAAGATACTCGTAATCTAGAGACCCACAAACAGAACTCAAAAACAACTTATCAGTTTTTCATTAAAATTATTCCACTTGTTCATAAGCACTCTTTTTGGAATTAAAACAAAATTTACTACTACCCTCCTTGATCATCAGCCTACCCCTCGATCACCGGCTAGCGACGCCCATGTTCAGATCTTATTCCGATTGTTATGGTCTCACTGTGAACCGGAATGGTAAGTTTTCGCTAATTTAAATTGTAATTAAATTGACGCGTACAACGAAGCAGTTCCAAGCCAACAAAAAATTATATTTGAATATTTAGTACTGAAAACACTTTGAATTGTCAGTAAATCGCAAAAAAATTGTATTGTATCGACGAGCAGAAAAGCTTTATGAAGACAAGATTTTTCACAATTTCAATAAAATTTATTACATTACGTTAAACATGTTCTTACACGTTTGGTGATCATACATTGTTTTCGAGAATTAGTGAAATAATTTGTGTATGGGTTTTTTTCATTTTTTTTAGTATTTATAATTGTAATAACAAAATCTTTAATTTAAACGTAAAAGTAAGTACATATAGCTGCATTGTTTAAAGAGAGTATTTTGAAAACAGATTGTTCGCGGAGTCATCGGCCGCTCAAATACCGTTGAAGAAGCATTATGGATTTGAACCAGAGTGAGCTGCAAGCGGTGAACAGAAGAAGGTCAGACGGCCTCCGCGAATTCATGCTTCAGGACCAAGATCAACTATAGGTTCTTTGCCATCGCAGTAAGTAGTTCTACTTAGCTTCTTTGTATTCAAATAGTAAGAAAGAAACAATAACACGCACAGAAGTACTGTTCAGTTCTAAAAGGAACTCCCCGCCGCGTTCGTTTTGTTCTCTAATATCCTTTAAACCTGTATAATAAAGGTCCCAACATCTACGAGAGTATGACATTAATAAAAATAAAAATTCCAAGAACACTTTCGTGCGCGACAGTGCCTGCCCGTAAACAACAGATCTTCGTTTTTGGATGAAAAAAGTATCATGTAAGAAGAACCCAGGTGAGCAATATTTATGACTTTATAGTCCTACCTTATCTCGCTTATGGATTTTATATTATTCTATCTTTTTCTGCCTGCCCCCGGTTATCTCCTATTGCGTTTCTACTTGCTGTGAGAATTGTTTGATATTTTTTTTGGTATATTGCAGTCTGCAGGATAGAAAAAAGTAAAGTGTAAGTGATAGTTTAGATTATTGTTTTTAAGCAAATCAATAATTTATTACTATTTACAGCTGTAAATTTCTGGGTTCTGTCGCACTTAGAGACGCTAAGAGGTCTCTGTTAGTGGAATTATATTAAGGAAATTTTCATTAATAAGATACACTAGCAACATTATTTTTTAGTTAATATTTTTGCGATCTAAATAATGATGCGATTGAACTAATGAAAATAACTTTATATCCTAACTAGCTGTTCCCGTGCGATTTCATCCGCATGAAATTATGAAAATTTTATTTTATTGTTTTCATTTGTAAAATTAATAATAGCATATGTCAAAATGACATGACAAATCTGGGCAATCTTGTTTCTTTGGTGTTGGCAGCAACTTATGGTCTCTTTCCCACATTAGGATTTTTATCCAAAATATTTACCTCCTAAGTTTCATGGCGTTAAAATATCTAGCCTAAAGCGTGACGTGTCAGGCTTTTCATTAAAAAAAGGATTATTCAAAAATGTGCTGTAATTGCTGACATCTTAGGCAACAAAGAAGTGTAGGTTTAAGCTTTATTATAATAGTATAGATAAGTATAGATAGTAGGAGTTATATAAAATGTCAACGTTTTTTGGAATATTGGTCGCAAAAACAAAACGCTTACAAGATAAATAAAAATGATGTTTTCTAAGTAACCATACACCGGAGCGGAGTTTTGCAATGTTCTGTAAAATGATACTGTCCAGGTGTACTTTTTAACGTTTATACGCTTCAAAGTTAACTAAGCAAAACAAGTTACTTTGTAATCGTCACTGGCTGTTTGGCAGGTTTTATTTATATTTTTTTAATTACTAAGTATGTGGTGACCTTTAAAATGTTTAGACATTTTTATTTTTATAACTAAGGTTAACGTTTATTTACTAAGCTACTGTATATACTATAGTTGAAATAATTTATTACGTTTGGAGCTTATTTTAGAACAAAGGTTAAAGAATTTGTGCTAACTTTTTTTTTTAACATAAGGTGGCAAACGAGCAAGCGGCCGCCTGAATCCGCCAAAACGACGAAGCGACCACTACCCATAGACATACACAATTGCAGATGCGTTGTCACCCTTAAACGATGGAGGAGGACACGCATATTTGCGTCTCCTCCATCCTTTCCTGATAAGAAAAGGGTGGAAAGGGAAAAGGACTAACATTAGGCTTCCGGAATCACACTCATCTGACGAGACGCGGAATTGCTTCCACTTCACGGCTGTTTTCTGTGTGGACTTCCCCCTAGGACCTATAGAACTAGCTTAGATTATCGAGTGGCGATGCCCACGGCTTAGTAATATATGTAAGATGGGGTCTCCTCTTTAAAAACATTTTCTCTGCTTTACTCAACGAGTTTGAGCGAAATCGCAATATATTTTATACACGTGTGAAGTGGAAATTGATACGAAACAGCTATTTCTAAGTATTATTTCATTATATCTTTCAAAGATCGACTTAGAACAGTTTTATAAAGAATCCGTGTAAAACGATATCTCATCCCATTTATTTATTTGATAGCATTTTTTGTGGTACTACATAAAGAAAGAGTAAGCTTTATACAATTAGTAATTCGGTAGACAAGGACAGGTAGACAAATCAAAGTGATCACGCTTCCCTAGCACGCCACATTTTTTAACTTTATTAACATAAATTCCCAGTCGTAGAGACACATTGTGCTTATCAGAATGTCCATTTTTTATCAGTCTATATGGTAACCCTCTTAATAAAACCGATCACTTACTTTTTGGGAAGAGATTAAGTTAGAATTTTTAGGGTTACTTATGAATAAAATGTAACACGCAGGTTACAAGATAGCCTCACCTCACACTCAAGTAGTAAGTATTTATCTTTAATTGTCGATGTAGTAAGTTAAATCTACATAAAGCGATTGTTTAAGAAATGAGCTAAGGCGGCATTAATGTAGATTAAGCAGAGTGTGGAATAAACAGACCGATTCTTAAGAAACGGATCAAAAGCATTTTGGAGGTAGAAGGACCTCAATTTCTATAATTTGAGATAGATCCTGTATGTGCTAAAATCTTTTCAGTTTGCTATCTATGTCAATGGCAATAAATCTTTCTTAGGCAAAGATAGAAATTTTTCTGAACTCAGCAAACTTATAAATAAGATAAAATGCAGTGAAAAAAACAAAAAGTAACAAATAATGACAAGCATGATTTTTTAAAAGTTTTTTTAACATGACCGATTTTTAAGCAGAACAAAGAGTGAAAACAACATTAATCGATTGTCACCAAACAGTTTAAAGACAATGCGTTTTCGTAGTACATTTTTTGTAAGCTACGGAACCACGATTCAACGCGTCCGAGACGCTCTTTCCTTCTTTTTTTAATTCACGCGACTTCACTTTAGAGAGGACAGCGGAGTAACGGCGTCGGAAGAGATTATTGTAGATTGTCTATTTGTTTGGTTTTTGATGGCTTAATGATTCCATCGGAATTATTCGTGTACCAAAGTGATTTCAAATCGTCATTCTTAAAGTTTTATTCATTCGTTATCGGGGCTACGGAATGTTATTAAAATTAGGCGTTAGGAAACGTAGTGGATATTAAAAAAAAAACTGATTTTTTTAAAGGCAGCTTTATGCTGTCCTCTTGTTCCACTAACATTTTTTTTTATAACATAAGGTGGCAAACGAGCAAGCGGCCGCCTAAATCCGCCGAAATGGCGAGGCGACCGCTGCCCGTAGACATCCGCAATTGCAGATGCGTTGGCCTTTTTTTTTTTTTTCTCGCTGGGAAAATGCCTTTACGCATCCCCCCCCGTTGCCAGGGGGGGTATGTGGGGCTCGCCGGCCGAAAGATGGAAGATGGCCGGAATACCCACTAAAAACCCAGCGGTGTTCCTTCAGTTCGCCATTGGCTGGGTCACGGGAACGCTTTTGCTTTCTTCCGCGAGACAGATGCGTTGGCCTACCCTTATCCGACGGAGGAGGAGATGCACATAAAAAAGATATTTCCCCTTCCTATGCATCTCCTCCACCGCCAAATCCACTTCCCTTTGCCATCCTCTCCTTTAAGAAAAGGGTGGCAAAGGCAAAGGGACTTAAATAAGGCCTCCGGCACCACACTCATCAGACGAAACACGGAATTGCTTCCACTTCACGCCTGTCTTCTGTGTGGTCGTGGTATTACACCGGGCGTGCCGGCCTATTCGTGCTAAGATGTTAAAGCGGGCACTACCACTGTATAACTTTAACATATTCCTTTATTTGTATGTTAACATCTTATATATGAATCACAGCATATCACATCTTATATATCACAATATCTCATCCTAATTTAACCTATAAAATCTAAAAAATACAATTAAATCAAAGCTAATTAATTACAATTTTAATTAAAATTGTATGGAATTCAAATGCAATTAAAATTAAAAATACATTAAAATTTGAATGTAAAAATAATTTAAACAGGAAAATAAAAACAAGTTACAATTTAAACAATAAATTAACTACATCCTATTCGTCTTGATGCATAAGAAGGCCCCCTGTTTAAGTTATTCCAAAAACATCTCCCTTGTATCCTTATTTCTTACTAACTTACTTAAATTCTCTACTTTAATCTTCTCTTTCACCTATTCCAGTGTCGGAACTAATAGCACCAAACACCGAGGACTGATGATGTGCCACACGAAGTCCTGCGCTTCTGGTTCACACGCGAATCTCTACTGGCAACAAGGACTTTTCGAGATTCCCGTGAAATATCAAGAATCCGATAAAGAAATTACGAAGAACTCAAGGACTATTAATACTTAGTAAGCATTTATTCAACTATCTAACACTTACTGTCTATAAAATTCGATGTCTTATAAGTTCCCAATTACCATAAAAAATATAAACACCTTTTTAAATTAAGTCGCTAACCTCTTGTTTAAACATTTACTAATAGCTACCAACTAAAGGATAGCGATTCCTTGAAAAACTAGCATTAGTAATCGAGCAGATAAGCACGTAATTCGTCATCAACGTCACACGGGTGTCGGTGTCATAGCACGATCAGCAAAATCGCAGGTGCATCGAAGATTAAAGTGCACCGCGCGCGATACCATAATTGTACAGATAATAAATGCCAAACGTCACAGATTATGTTCAGTTCGAAATATCTGATATAAAACCTTTTTGCAATAATTTTATCTTTAGGATTTTTTTATTGTCGGCACACTTTTGCAGCTCTATTATATTTACCTTTTCTCTTTATGTTGTTGTGAAGGATAATTTAGGTGTTAGTTATATCTAGAACTAGACGAAACGCTAAATACCAAGAAAAACGATGGATATTAAAAATTATTATATGCCATTTGTTTGTGTACAAACATAATTTCAATTGAATAAGAGGTTATCACAAGTGCTGTTAATGAGGATTGAGTTAGTTTTAGCAAGTAATTTAAGCAATGTGTTATTTTTCACAATTTAATTATAGTTTTGTTGTATGTATATGGTTTGCAAATTGGCTATTAACGATTTTATGTTAGCAAAAGCTTGTTATAAATCTCTTTGCGGGATATTGCTAAGTGATTGAGTTGAACTAGACTTCCATTTAACTTTTTATTCGTTTCTTTTGGCGTACAAATAAACGGCTAAGTTAATAATGATTATCTTACTAATATAAATGCGATAGTTTAGACAGATGGATGGATAGATGTTTGTTAGAGTTTATAGCCTAAACTGCTGAACGGATGTCGATAAAATTTGGCATAGATGTATAGGATATTCTGGAAGCATACATAGACTACTTTCTTTTAATTTTTAATTCCACGCAGACGCAGTCGCGGGCGAAAGCTAGTAAATACCAAATGGCACGGTAGACAAAACAAAAAAGAATTAAAAGCCAAATTAAGATAAGTTATTTCTACCCGATAAATAATTCAACCTGAGGTCAAATGTTCGTCGACTTTAAGTGTCGGTGTGTGTTGACTCATATTGTTATTTCATTATAAATGCACAAATGTCTTAATTAAAGATCGAAACCGGCACAATAACTCTGAAAAAATACACAACCTAAGCTCTGACCGGGTCCATCGCATGTCTCTTTCTAACACATAATAATTTGATCGGCCGTCTCGTTTTGCGCCAGACAAACTTGTAAATTGTTCTTTTTACGATACGTCTCGACTGTAACGACTTAACGCAACAGAGAATCGATGATTTTAGTATTTATTGCGTCGTGTTTAGTCTTCGAATCGCTTGTATCGATTGTTATTTAAGCCGTTTGTATAATCGTCGTGGTGATCAAGTTATCTCGCTCAGACAAAACAAAATACAGCACAAGTCCTTTGAGCTTTCGAGTTTAGTTGCTTCACCGCGATTCCTTTTTGTAGTCCCGTCCCTTTTCTTGGAGCATTTCATTCGTAACGTAAAACCTGTTCGATTTTCAAATCCTTTTAATGCCATTTAGTTTCAAATTGAATAAAACCTTATACTTCTTGTTTGTAAGATGAAAATTTGAGGGAAAATTGCTTTGGAGTTAGGCTTTTAAAGGGTTTACTTCGAGATGTTACTGTCACGTACTATCGATGTGGGTTTGGATTTTCTGTTTTTGTTGGCAATGCATTAAGACGTACTGACTTCAGGGTAGTATGCGTTAGTTCTCGGATCATACATGATTCATACGGAACCCCATAAAGAGATGAGATTTCACGCTAGTCGTTGACAGCGGCTTTTTTACCCTCCAAACTTGGCTATATGTTTTTTCGCTGGCTAATTAGCACTCGTTATAAAAAAAAGTACACAACTCTCAAGACATAAATATTAATAATGACTTCATAATCACTGACACGATAAAGCCATAAAACATTTAAAATAATTCTATTTTTTTTAAATTACCCATCTACTATGATATGTGAGGAAAGATTTGTTTGTTTGTCCTGAATACGGCAATAAAATTACAGATACGTATTCGAATTATAAACATATACTATATGTATTAGGTACATTTCAGAACGGACTAAATAATTATCTATTTGTTAAGTGCTTGACAAATACTCGTCACGGCAGCTTGTTTGCTGCTGACCACTATGCAAATGTTTTCCTAACGACAATGGACAGACGTCTCAAGCCAGCGTTATGGGAAACTTCAAAAAATTCCGTCTTTATACTTAAATGAACTAGTTCCCATAGATATGAAAAATACAGTTTAGTTATTTTTAACTAGTTAGATACAGCAGTTTTAACTTTTAATGTACAACCATTGTCAATAAAGGTGGTAACTTAGGTTGTTAAAACTTTCGTATTCATGGTCACAACTTTAAAGTTGAGCAAAAGACGCATTTTTAATACAATTCCTTGATTTAACATTGTATTACAAACTTATGCGTGCTGTAAAACAAATAAAATAACATTATCATTACTATCGTCAATTTATAGACCACCCGCAAAATAAATTCGAAATGGTAACCATTAAGTTGACTCACTAAAAAGCCTATATCGTGCATGCAAATCCGTGAATTATCATTGTTTATGTAGTGCATCAGTCAGCATAGCGCTAAGAAAATGCGATTAAGACATTATCTGGTAACACTATCCGCGCCAGACAGGGACGGAAAACAAATACGCCCGCATACAATTTGTACGGAAATAACTTTGAGGGGGAGCGAGACGGTGAAATGTCACTTTCTGTAATGTTTCGAACTGTAATGAGAAAACCACTGTCTCTTTCGCACCTGACGTTTTACAATCGTTTATTGTCATGTTACTGTCTCGTTTCGACGGGCGAGATTGAGATGAAACCGCCGTTCCGTTGGCGCGTTTCGTCCATGTTTTGCTATATCGGTTCGAGCCGCGCCGGTGACGGTCGTCGATGTTGGTTTTTATTTTTCCTTCGTATCATTATAAACATTCGTTTTAATATTATTTTTATAAAAGAAACTTAAGACATTTAACGGTCTGTGTGATTTTGTGAACGATTGGATCTTATTATCTTCATTTGTAGTGTGACAAAGTTAATTTTTTTTGTATTTATTTGACAAGTGTCTGTGTTGTGTTGTATTTATTATGCGGATGGATTGCATGTAGTTTGACACAAGATGACCTGACAAATCAAGAGTAAGTCTATCAATATGCTATTTATATTTCCATAATCAAATACTAAAAAGCGCATTTTAGTTGAAAATCTAGGAAAAACTTTTTCAGGCTTTTTTTTTTCAAAAGTACGCGCGCTGAACTTTCTTTATATAAAACTTTTTTCTAAGTTATTTATATGTTTAAGTGACAATATTTCGTGTACTAAATGCTGTCAACATGTGGTCCAAGGAGGATTTTGTACCTGCCTCGGCCAGAATGAGAAGGGGCTGACTTTTTGTAACTTTTAAAAACAAAGCGATCCCGGGCAACGGCGGGGAGCCTTACAGTGCTGCAGTTCAGTCACGTTTTTAGTCTTTCCCGGGAATTGCTGGATTTTTTTTTATTATTTATCACCTAACCTCTTGTCGTTGGTGCATTTTTATTAGAATTCTTTTGTATTCAACTTGACGAATATTTTTTATAATTGTGACGAAGGAAACACGGATGAATGTTTATCATAACTAAGTAGTTAGAAATGATTAAATATAATATGTTCCGATGCTATAGTTATTTTTTACAAAATGAGAGAAAGAATACACTAAATGAGAACATACGACCTCTGAATTTTGTTAGTTATAGTAGGTATAAATCTCGAAAAAAAAGGTAAACACAATTAAAAACTGAATAAATTCTTGCATTCTACCTCATCAAGTTGACGGTGACCACAGTTGATGATGATCAAGAAGATAAAGCCACAATCCATCAGCAATAAGCCGATTAAACTATAAAATTAATTTTATTTCAAATGCCTCATATTGCAAACTATAAATCGATTTATGTTGTAAAATTTTACAATGTAACAAACCGTTTTCATGTCGCAAATAAAATTTAATTGGCCTTAGATGTTACACAAACATTTAATTAATCATAAATATGAATATAATCTATTCTTATTATAATACACAATAATTAATGGAATTAAATGACCGATAGTGATGTTGATTTTTTTAGATAACTAGCTTTACCCGTGCGGCGTCATCCGCATGTAATTATGAAAAATTTATTTTATTGTTTACATTTGTCAGATTATCAATACCAAATCTCAAAATGACATGACATGACAAACCTTGGCAAACTTACTTTCTTCATGTTGGCAGCAACTTAAGGTCGCTTTTCCACATTAGGGTTTTTATCCAAAATATTTACTTTCTAAGTTTAATGGCGTTAAAAATATATAGCCAAAAGCTTGACGTAAGTGTAGGGCTTTTTATTAAAAAAAGAACTAATCAAAAATATGCTGTGATTGCTGACATCTTAGGCAACAAAGAAGTGCATGTTTACGCTTTATTATAATAGTATAGATGAGCCGATAATGTAAATATACACTGTATGAAGTAACTGTTTACATTAAATTGTTGTAATAATTTTAAATAAATAAATAAAAAATTGCCACGTCTAAAAATGTGGGTAGTTTGTTTTTTAAATAGTTTAACAAGTATAACTAGAGAATATTCTAATCTAGTAAATAGTCTGGCCCTAAAATACATGTCTAGTCGTTACATACAATTTGTAATCTGGCTGTAAAATATTGTTACTTAAAAACAATCGGCAATAAACATGGCTGCCTGAAGAAATGGCGACGGAATTCTTTCCTCCAATATGACAATGCAGTGCTTAGGAGCGGCGGTCACGAAACACGAACTGATAGAGTAATGATTTGTTTGGATTGCAAATTCGTTGCTCTCCAGAGACATAA